AAGGAAGTCCCTTCCTAACATCCCTAAGTTATAGATATACCATACGGACTGCAGGAGTTCAAGGATGTAACTCACCGCTACAAGTACAAGTACAATTAGAGATAGGCAACAAATGTTGGTCTTGTCAACAGCAGTCACATCCAAAAAAAATTAAATCCAGCATTTTATGGGCAAGAGGATCCAAATAATAAAAACCTGCAATAAAGGAAACAGTAACACCCCACAGAAAATAATAATTTTCCCTCCACTTTTTGTGAAATTGACATATTTTCTTTAAGCATTGCCTAACATGGAAATGTTTTGGCGATACATTTCAGCAGCAACAGGTGCACTTGTACCACTTTCCTCCACACTAACTGATTCATGCACGAGCATTCCAAATCAAAAAGCAGCATGGATAAATGGAAAAGATTTTCTTCTCTTACTCACCTCTTCCTCAGGAAGAGATAAAACAAATAACTTCAAAGGTTCCTTATTTGAATATACAAGAATCTGCAATAAAGATCTTTAAAGATAGATATAGATACAGTTCTTAGGACTAACAACTTAAAGGATATAAGGAGAAAGCAGAAACAAGATACCGAGTTAGATGATCAGCCACTGTGATATTGAATGGCGGAGCAGACTCGAAGGGCCGAATCGTTTTCTCCTGCACCTATGTTCTATATTTCTAAAATAAATGAACAAGCAGCAAAACCAGAGATAAATTAACTAGATCTAATAGCTAATGTAGAGACATTTTTACAAGGTGATCAAGGGTGGGAAATAAATATTCTAGATTGCATAATATTTCAGAGTGTCTTTTAAGAACCAGCACAGGGCTACCAAAAGGTAGATACGGAAAAATGTAGAATGAGATGAACTAGCCAGAAATATGAAAATGTTGCAAGAACTTTCATGAGTAAATTGAAAGGAAGAGAGTCACCAAAGCAAGCATTTGTCTCTTAGAACCAGGGAACAGGAGAAATTATGAAACAAAAACAGAAATTGGTGGTGAAACTCAGTTCTGATGAAGAGTCACTGGACTCGAAACGTTAACTCTGCTTTCTCCCTACATATGCTGACAGATCTGCTGAATTTTGCCATCAATCTGTTTTTGTTTCAGATCTTCAGCATCTGTAAATTTTTGTTTTATTATAGGAGAAATTATCATGGGCCATGAGGAAATGGCAAAGGCATTAATCCAATATTGTTTGTCAGTCTTTATAATCAGAATCATACAGTACAGAATAGGCCATTGAGTCTGTACTGCATCACCAAAAATACACTGTCATACAAAGTCAAACTTTCCCGTGTTACAACCATTTTTAAAATCGTTCATTCATGCGATGTGGGCACAGCAGAAGACAATTTCTTTCCAAAAATAGACTGTAATCTAGGGGGTTAATGAGATAGGTGCAGAGATTGTGATATGCTGACTATGATTTTCCAAGATTTCTTAGATTTGGGTAGGGTCCCATCAGATTGGAAGCTGGCAAATGTTATGTCACTTTTCAAGGAAGACACAAGGGAGAAAATAAAGAACTACAGGCCAGATAGCCTAATACCAATTGTTGCAAAAATACTGGAATCTATTAAGGTTTAAGAATGCATTAAGATAATTTAATGATTAGAACAAGTTAACATAGCTTTACTAAAAGGGAATCTTGTTTGTCAAATTGATTGGAATTTTTTGAGGATGTAACTAGTAAGATAGGTAACAAGAAACCAACAAATGTTTTATACCTGGATTTCCTTAAGGCATACCTTTAGGTACTACTCAGAAGGCTAATTATCATTGCAGCTGATGTAGTTGGGGATAATATATTAGCATGGATAATGATTGGTTGATAGAATGATATAAGAGGGCATAACTGGACAATTTCAAGTTGGCAGCCAGTGAATAGTGAAGCATCACAAGGGTCAGTGCTAGGGCCTCAAGTATTAGAATTTTATGATGCAGAAAAAGGCAATTCGACCCATCAAGTCTGTACCAGCTCCCAAAAGAGCTACCCAGCTAGTCCCGTTGTCCAGCCTTCTCTGTAACCCTCTAAATCCATACCTTTGAAATATGTATCCAGCGCCCTTTTGAAACTTTGTATGGAATCTGGCTCTACCACTCTCCCATGCAGTGCATTCCAGCCCTACCAACTCTCTAAGTCGCACACACACAGGTTTCCTCTGGGGTCTCTGGTTTCCCCCCACAGTCTAAAGATCTGCAGGTTAGGTGGATTAGCCATGCTAAAGTGTCCAGGGATGTGCAGGCTAGGTGGATATACAGGGATTGGATTTGGGCAGGGGTGGTGGGGGGGAAGCTGGGTTGGGTTTGGATGGGATGTGCCTCAGAGGGTTAGTGAGGACTAGATGGGCTGAATGTCTGTTTCTACACTGTAGGGATTCTATTCTCTTTGGTCACAAGAGAAACACAGATTTTCCTTTAAAAGCTGCAAGACTTGCAAGTGTTACGTTCAGAGAAATTAGGTTGCACTTGGATAAGGCACAGAGTACATTAACATGTATATGCGATGAACAATTAGAAAGGCAAATGACATACTGGCCTTTATTTCAAGGAGAAATGAAATACAAGAGAAAACAAGCCTTGTTACAATTGCACAGGGTTTTAGTGAGACCCACATCTTGTGTTCTGTACACAATTTTGGTCTCCACATTTAAGAAAAGATATCCTTGCACTTGAGGCAGTACAACAAAGGTTCACCAAATTTTCACCAGGAATTAATGAGTGATCATCCTACGATGCAGGTGAGCAAATTTTTCCCATATTCTTTGGAGTTTAAAAGAATGAGAGATGCTCTCAATGAAACATAGAGGTTTGATAGAATAGATGCTAACACATCATTTCTCTCAGTCAGGGAATCTAAATCATGGGGCACAATTTCAGGGTAAAGAGTTGATTATTAAACCTGAGACAGAGAAATTTCATCATCAAAAGGTTATGAATCTTAAGAATTATCCGCCTTGACAGCTATAGAGTCTCTATCTCCAAATACTTTTAAACTGGTGATAGAGAGAGGCTGGTCATGGCCCACATCATCTCCCATCTCCCAGCCTGCTTCGATCTCCTACAGTTTGCCTACTGACATAACAGGTTCACAGTGGATGCCATATCCCTAGCCGTGAACTCATCCCTGGACGTGAACAACAAACACACCTATGTCAGACTCATGCTCGTTGACTACAGTTCCGCCTTCAACATCATTAGCCCCTCCAGACTGATCTCAAAACTCCGCGAGCTTGGTCTCGGCTCCACCCTCTGCAACTGGATCCTCATCTTTCTGACTCACAGGCCGTAATCAGTGATGATAGGTAACTGCACCTCCTCCACAATAACACTCAACACTGGAATCCACCCCCCCAACCCAAGGATGCATTCTCAGCCCCGTACTGTACTCCCTGGACGCCCACGACTATGTTGCCAAATTCCAAATGAACGCCATCTACAAGTTCGTTGACATTACTGTAGTAAGACAAATATCTAACAATGATGACTCAAAATACAGACAGGAAATAGAGGACTTGATGATGTGGTGCAATGAGAACAATCTCTCTCTCTAAATGTTGACAAAACTAAAGAACTGATCATTAACTTCAGAAAGAATGGAGAAGAACACGCCCCCATCTACATCAGGGGAACTGAGGTTGACAGTGACATGTTCCTCAGTGACAATAAACCAACAAACTGTTCAGGACATCCCACACAGATGCGACAGTCAAGAAAGCACAACAATGCCTTTTCTTCCTCATGCAACTCAGGAAATTTGGCATGTCCATAAAGGACCCTCACTACCTTCTACGATGGAGTGTATAACGGCCTGGTACAGCAACTGCTTTACCCAGGACGGTAAGAAACTACAGAAGGTGGTGTGCACAATCCAAACCATCACAGAAGCCAACCTTCCATCCATGGAGACAACAAGGTGCAGAGCTGGATGAACACAGCAGGCCAAGCAGCATCATAGGAGCAGAAAGGCTGACGTTTCGGGCCTAGACCCTTCATCAGAAAAAATGGACTCTATTTACACAGCTCACTGCCGCAGAAAGCCTGCCAACAAAGACCCATCATATCCCCGTAATGATTGTCTACAATCTCTTCCATCGGGCAGAAGATACAGAAGCCCGAACATACGGACCAGCAGGTTCAGGAACAACTTCCCGGCCATTACTAGTCTGATGAATGGACTCTCTCGCCTCAAATAATGCTGATCTTGCTAACGTTGATCCTCTGTGCATGCTTGCTTACTATGATCTGTTTGTACTGATTTATTTCATTGATTTATTGTCACGTATACCAAAGTATAATTAAGATTTTTGCTCTGTAGATTACACAAGAAAAATGGGGAGCAGGCAGAAAGTGCAGTTGAAATTCAGTAAAAGCAAAATACTGCAGGTACAGGAAACCTAAAACAAATGTGAAACTGTCTTCCTCACAGTCATACCAGATTTGAAACTTTTAACTCTTCATTCTTTCCCCACAGATGCTGCTAACCCTGCTGAGTTTCTCCAGCGTTCTCTGCGCTTGTTTCAGTTGAACGCCAAGATGAGTTCATGATCGAAATGAACCACAGAGCAGGTTCAACAGGTCAAATGATCCACTCCTAGTTACTTTATTGCGAGGAAGGCTCAAGACAAGGCCAGCTTCAACGCAGACCTCGCTCCCGTAATTATCAGTCAGCTATTCAACCACCGAAGACATCAGAGCTCACCCCAATGTTGTCCTTGTCTAATAGCCATTCCCATGTCCTTTGGCTGCAAGTTCGGAGCAAGAGACTAAGAAAATCACTGTGATGACATGAAAATGCGGTGGAGATACACTAGTCAGTAAAACTCCCCACGAAACGATTCTTCTCATTTACAGTGGGATCGCCCCTGCCCTTCGCGCTGCTGTCACTTAGGCTGGGCCCAGCTCGTGGCTGATTGCCCGGGGAGGCGGGGTGGGGGGAGCGGGGAAACCATAACCGCCGCTGGTGCACCCGCACTAGGTAGCAGAGACCTTCAATACTCACACATTGAGGACATTGCGCCGGTTAGAGAAGTAGGACTCGGCCAGGGGTTGGCTGGCTTTTACCAGCGAGCCGCCCAGGGTGATAAGAGCGAGGAGCGGCGCCAAATACCGGCACAGGCAGCCCCGGTGAAAGGTAGTTAGAAACCGCACAACGCCATCGAGCGACATCTTCACCAGGAGAAGGCGGGGCCGTATCCACAGCTCGTGATTGGTAGATCCCGTCCCCGCCCATTTCCTCTGATAGGGAGAGGACGGCCCAGACAATTGCAGTCATTGGAGGTTCCAGGCTCCGCCCATCTAATTACTTCCATGCGCGACAAGTCCCACCCACTGCACTGGATTGGTCAAAAGAAGCCCCACCCACCACAATGGATTGGTCAAAAGAAGCCCCACCCACCACCATGGATTGGTCAAAAGCAGCCCCACCTTCGAGATTCGCTGTTTAGACCGCACCAAGACCAATATTACCGTGCTTGGCTGTCAATCCATCCATCCATCCATCCATCCATGCATGCATGAATGAATGGGAGAGGTACAGTGTATATCAAAGATGGCATACATCTCAACCAGCTGCAGTGATCTATATTCTTATGATGTCTTTAACACCATAAACAGCCCAAGGGAAGAGAATTTTGAAGCAAAGTATAACACTGAACTATATAAGATGACATAAGGTTAGGTCAAAGAGGAATGTTAGAGTGTCTTAAAGGAGAGCAGCGAAGCAACAAGGCAGAAACGCTTAGGGAGGCAATTCCAGTGCTTTGAATCTAAGCATGTGTAGTGATTGGAAAGAGGTTGGCCAGGTGGATCTCATTGAATATGAGTTCCCTGATTGCGGCTGTCAGCATAGGCCAATCAGAAATCCTGGCTAACAGATGTAAAGAGGAATCAAAGGAATACCCCTCATCTTAGGGACTGGCTCTGAGCTAGCTGGTCACAGTCAATATACTGTGCACATGTAAATAAAGGGTGATGGGATACCAGCCTCCATGGAGTTATTTCAGTGGCGACAAGAGAAAACAGTATGCTCCTGAAGCAAATTTGCTCGCAACAATCATCTTTGATTGGGGGTAAGCATTTCTGGCATCATGCCTTTATTTGGGAAGCTTGACTCGTTTGATCCTGCCATCAAAGACTGGGCCCAGTGTGTGGAAAGAATGCAATACTTTTTCTGGGCAAATGACATTGGGGCAGATGTAAAGCAATGAGTAAATCTTCTGACTGCTTGTGGACTGGCAGCATGTCGGTTATTAGGAGCCTAACCCTGAGGCACTAGATGCTAAACCTTTCGAGAGTTGACAGATTTAGTTAAGGAATATTACGACTCCAAGCCTCTTCTAATTCTGAAATGCTGTCAGTTTTATTTGGCATTTCGAGAACCACGGAAATCTGTATCGGGCTTTTTGATAAGGTTAAGATGACTGGTAGAGGCATATGATTTTGGGTTAACCCTGAATGAGATGCTGAGAGACGGTTTGGTAAGTCGCTTTAATGATATAACCATGCAAAAGTGCCTATTAACTGAAGCCCAACTGGACTTCCAACAGGCGGTACAACTGGCTTTGTCATTAGAAAATGCAGCAAGTAGAGTATGTCAGCTCCAGTGTATCCTGCAGGAAGTGGACACCCTCGCCTGTCTGACTGAGTTTGGGGAACACCACTTGAGTGAAGGCAATTGCATAATTTCATCAGGACACATCCTGAGCAGAGGGATCTTTGGTCAGCCCACAGCAAAACCCCAAAACAAAGCCAAGCCTTGGCCAAATGGTATCACAAAAAGAGTTATCACCAAATGGAAAACAGACTTTGGAAATAAACTGCAGGCATTTAAACATCTTCCAAGAGAAAAGTGAGATTATCACTTCAACTAGACACCCTTCATAAGAATGTAACAGTTACTAATCATGTGATTATCTTTTAGCAGCAATCCAGCAGCTAAGTTCTTCTGAATTGTGCTGCTTTAGGTCTGAATTGAATCAGAAAAATAAACCATTGATATAATACATGTTGTCAGCATGAACATCAATGATGTATCCCTAGCATCACGTCACCTATACATTCATAAATCAGATGTCCAATGAAATAATTCCACAGAGGCCAATGTCCCATCACCAAGTCATACTTTATTTACACGTGCTTCATACTTGACACTGGTCCGGCTTCCTTAGAGCCAGATCTCAGAGTGGACAGAACCTCTGACAATCCTGTTTATATCTGTCAACCAGGGCTCCCTGATTGGACCAGATTAACAGCCCCAGTCCCAGCGAACTCACTTTCTATAAAGTCCACCTGGCTGACCACGTTATAATTATTACATCTCTCCCCCTCTAAGTCCGAGAATGTAGGCCTGTTCTTTTTCTTGTAGTCTCTCCTGGGGTGTTTTCACACCTGACCTGGTTCCTCCCACTCAGCATTGGACATGGGTGCTGCATACTGGACCATTGCGAACTCTTGCGCTTGGAGTCTCTTGGAAGAAATCCATCCCCTTCTTTAGGAGATAAACGCATGGAGGCTGCAACATCCGCCGCGTCCATCACAGACTCAGATGTTTCTTCGATGCTTGACTAAGGGGGAGAACTCACGGAATCCAACAGCCTTTCCAGCTGTTCTAAGAGCCAGGTATGTTTTTCTCCTGCCCTGTTTGCGAGTTTGTAGCTTCCATGTGGTCCAAGTGTTTGCTCAGGACTGCCTCACCAATGCAAACTTTGTACATCATGAGACCTGACCTCACACAACCACGCCTCTTACCCAAGCAGTACCATTTCCATGGTTTCAGCACCAAACTTCGTTCCCTGAAGTAAAACGTTACTCTCTTATAGCGGAGTCTTGTGTCCGGCATTGGTGTTCCTAATGCTGTTTCACCCTCCCCCGCCAATGTCTGGGAAGATCAGATTTATCTGGTGCAGAGTCTTCTCCCCATTAGCAATTCTGCTAGAGGAATCCCTGTAGTTGCAGTGAAGGGTGGTCCAATAATCAAATAGAAACCAGGACAGTTTTGGTTCTAGTGAAGCTGAAGGCTGTTTATTTTTGCCTGACTTCAAAGTTTGGACTGTTCTTTCTGCCTGACCATTGGATGATGGATGGTATGAATCTGTCCTTGTATGCTGAATGCCATTCAACTTTAAGAAATGCTCGAATTCCTTGCTGGTAAATGATGTCCCATTGTCAGTGACCAACACTTCCAGGAGCCCGTGTATTGCAAATGATGATCTCAACTTTTCTATCATCATCCCCATGTTTGACATATGAACTCTATGCACGTCCAATCACTTTAAATGGACATCCACAATGACTAAGAACATTGAATCCATGAAAGGGCCGGCACAGATTTTAAAAGGTGGGCATAATAACAGTGATTGAAATCATCTACTTTTTTGCATACACAAATGCTTATCCAAATTAGTTGTACTCTAAGTACTATTACTGTAACGTAGATAGAATTAAGGGCTTGAGAATAAGTAGAGCAGCCAGACCATCCAAGGCTCATTAAGGAGGTGGGGTGCATCATGTGTGACTCTGTATATGTATTTACACACTGCATCCAGCAATGGCTCTCACAGATTGGAAGAAGTCTGATATAATCCCCAGCATTTTAAAAAAAAGTTGCAAGACAGATCTGACTATCTGACAGCTCATTAGTTTGATAACAATCATAGGAAAGATATCGTTGTTATACAGAAGCAATATACTAAGGTACCCAGCATGGTTTACAAAAAAGTCATGTCTTACTCATCTGATTGTATTTTCTGAAGAAGCAATGAAGATGGCGGATTGGGAAAACCCAGTAAGCATTGTCAACCTGGGCTTCTGAAATGCTTCCAATAAGGTACTGAATGATAAGGTTCTGATATTAATGGCAAAGTATTGAAATAAGTTGAAAACTGTCTGAAAGGACAACCAGGTGAAATAGAGTTGGAGACAGATTTTGAGCTGTTTGGAGACATGTGATGTCCCATAGGGATCAGATATGGGAAAGTTGCTCTTCACTATTTTTATTGATAATGCAGATGTGGATGACACGGCTTTTGGGTGCAGCTGATACTAAGATCTATGGGTGTTAAAATTGTGCTCAACAGCTTCTAGTAGATTTTAGTATTTGGCAGATTGGATTCATGATTCACAAATGATGTTTAATTTGGAAAAATTGCTTGTCAAATGTTCAATATTCTTATACCCTTCATGGGAAAGCATTAGAGAAAGTGGAATAAAAGTGATGAATAATGCCATGAAACAATACTTAGAGTGAATAGGGCATTGAGGTACATTCATTGGACAATTGATTCTAAGCTAAAGCCTGCCATTTTGTCATTTTGCAAGATTTTGAAATATTATGTCCAGTTTTGGTGTCTGCTCGTATGATGGGTGATATAGAGGCTTTGGAAATGGAGCAGAGATGAGTCACTAAAGTAAATCTCCAGTATAAAACATCTTATAGTTACCATATAGGCCAAAATAGATATTTCACGGAAACATAAATTCAGGGTGATCTGATTGGGGTTTACAAGATGACAATTGGAATAGATTATGTTCTAGTGATAGTTTATTCTAATGAAATATATTAAAACAAAACCAGAGTCACAACTTAAGTTATGTGCTGACTGGATCTAAATTAGATGTAAGGATGTGAGAATAGTGAACTGGATCTGTACTCAATGGAGTTTAGAAGGAAGATGGCAGGGGGATCTCATTGAAACTTGCAGAATACTGAGAAGCCTGCTCCAGTAGACATGGACGAGGTGTTGCCACTAGTACGAGAAACTAGGTCCTGAGGGCATAGCCTCAGAGTTAAGGGACAATCCTTTAGAACTGAGATGAGGAGGAATTTCTTCAGCCAGAGGGTGGCAAATCTGCAGAACTCATTGCTGCAGAGGGCTATGGATGCCAAGTCATTGAGTGTATTTAAGACAGAGATAGATAGATTCTTGATTAGTAAGGGGATCAAGGGTTGTGGGGAGAAGGCAGGAGAATAAGTTTTAGAAACATATCAGCCATGATCGAATGGCAGAGTAGACTCAATGGGCTGAATGTCCTAATTCTTCTCCTATGTCTTACGGCCTTATTCTGGAATAGGCTGTTATTTTGCACAGAGATCACAATTTCTTTAAATGAGAATTGCACCTGTTTTTGGTTCAGATGGACATCAGTTTTTGGTAAAAGGAAGGAACGCAGGGAATTTGAAGCCACAATGATTGCGGTTTAATTTCAATTACCTAGCTAGATCAGAGAGA